GTACAGAACTTTAATCCTGGAATCCATGAGGAGTTCATTACATATGCCCTCGGATTTCATATTTAATTATAATGATGATACATGCAAATCTCACTGTGTTTGAATTGTAGGTGATTTTGTATAGTCTGCAATGCTTTGTTTGTTTGTTTTATTAAAGGCCTTAGTGGGATTTTCTATATGTTTTTAGATTTTTGATTTGTTATTGACTTTCATTGCAGTTTTGTTTTATATTCATGTGCCACTGGTGAGTCTTTTGTTCACGAGTCGATTGTATTTAATTATAAGAGTCTTATCTCTGATGAGTTTTTATTACCTCTGTGTCGACGTCACTGCTGTTGAACGTTTCTTCCCAATGGGATTACCAGCCCAGTGGTAAGTGTGCTGACCTGGTATATCATTAATACGTTCTTTTTCTTTAAATGTAGTGTCAAAAACGTTGAAATCATTTGAAACTTTAAACCACTAAGGTTTTTCTAACCCAAGCATTGGAGACCCTAGTTAGAGTTGGTACATTGTCTGTAATGTTTGCTTTTCAATGCTCTTCAACTTCGTAATTCATTTGTCTATACAACTAATTTATTTCGAGTGCAACTGAATAGTCTTATGTTGACAATTTTTGAACCATTCGATACCAGTTGGTAGTTCTTCCTCGAGAGTATCACCAGCAAAGTAACAGTGCTTTTGTGCTGACATGAAATGTCATTGATACGGTCATTTTAGGGGGTAAATTCAATGTAAATCAAACAAAACACATATCATTTGTTTTTCTATTATCTTAATTGATTTATAGTTCTTTCATTGATGCCAATGTTTACAATTTTCTTTAATATTATTTTTTTTAAAAGACATTATTCGGAAAATAGATTTCCAATATTCAGTGTTTTGAATATCGGTAAACAACTATCGCCTTAATCATCGAGTGTTGTTAAAAAGTTATCTAGACGGCTTCAAACTTGTAACACCTCAAGCAGTTGGTTATCAGCAATCAAATTCTGATTACATTAAAATGGAATAATGAAACAAATGTTATTCTAAAAACACCAGATTATCATTTATTTATCTACTTATTTTGAAATATAATATCTATGAAATACACTTTTGTGTTCAAAATAATTCATTAATTGCCAAAGGACTTTAAACAAACAATAATCAGCCAATCAATCAAAACGATACATATAGTAAAAGAAATAATTAATTCATGGCCGATTTTTTCGCATTTACTTCTCCAAAACATCTCATACTTCTTCATTTTTAGCATAGCAACTGTTTATGGTTTGTAGCTGGATATCTGATCATAAATTCGAGTCTTTGATGTATAAGCATGAATTTAAATTGCAAACAATTTTCAAAATATCACTGATTTTTGATACGTTACAAAATATTAATGTAACTTAACATTCGTTGAGGTGTATAAGTTTGTAAATTGCATGTTAATTAGAAATGAAAGGTATTGGCTGTTTCATTTCAAAATAACACTTCATAAAATATTGTAATCATATTACACGTAACTCCAATAATTGTTATCTTCAATAGATTGCTCTAAGATAGCTCTTTATATCAAAGTATTTTAATGAAGTGAAGGCTGTTCGATTGATCTTATTTTCCTTGAAGTCCAATGACTATGCCAGTACGTCTAACAATAACTCAGTACGTCTAACAATGACTATGTCAGTAAGTCTAACAATGACAATGAAATATAGTCCCCTACCTTGATATCTTACTACTGCACGCAAGTCGAATTCAAACTTATTTGTATTTAAATAGGATTCAACGTTCTCGGTAAATAATCGTTAAACATGTTATAATGGACTTAAATCATTGAAGGAAAACTTTGAATGTTAGGCTTGTTCAACAATAATTACACAAATGAACTAAGCGTACAGTTTGTTGCTTTGCATCAGAACATTTGCTCAATCAGAAACATTACGAAAAATCGAAATAAAACGTTATAAACCTGGCAAAATTGCAGACATTTTAAATATACTTGAGAGAAACACAACAGTACATAACCACTAATATGTCAAGCCAATGGAGATAAAAAATAAAATAGTTAGAATGCATGTGGAACTTATTACATGGAATTATAATTTGAACGTTCACTATCATGGTATCACATCAAAAAGATGTTTATGCGAACTGTGTAATGACAATGTACCGTCGAGGACGAAACATATTTTTTACTTGTGATCTCTTTATTTGTTCGAAAGAAACAAAGCTTTTTCGGACTTTACTTTTAACGTACTGATATAGATCTTTTCATTCTTTTCGATGACGAAATACTCATTTAACTGCTGACTTCTGTCTGTAATCTACTTCAAACTATATTTCCAATGATTTCAAAATCCGAGCTCAGTTGCTTTCACATCATGGAACATGAATAATCTTGTTGAACTGTTCTTTGGGTAATAATTACATATTTAATTTGAACATGTATTTATAAATTTGAACTGACAGTGTTTCATAACCCTTTGCAGGTTGGCTGATTGACTTTGTACAAGGCTATGTAAAAATGTTATATCAGTACCGTAGCACTAACAGTAATCTATAGAATCTTCCATCAATGTTTAACTACTATGCGAGTATGCCTAACAAAGACAGTATATACCTATAGTTCCTTCACTTGAAGCCTAATTACTATTAGAGTATGCCGAACAAAGACATTGGCGATTCCATTTAGGACCTTTTGGTTTTGATGCCAGTAAATGTTGAAAGAATTCATTAAAATTTAGTGTGACGTCCATTTTCGCTGAACTAGTATACATTATTGTTTAGGAGCTAGCTGAAACCCGTATTCGGGTGCGGGATTTTCTCGCTGGCTGTGTTGAAGACCCATTGGTGGCTTTTGACTGTTTTCTGCTCTTGATCGGGTTGTTGTCTCTTTGACGCATTCCCCGTTTCCATTCTCAATTTTATTTGAGTTTCCTTACTTTCTGTCTTTTAGCTTTTAAAATAATTGATCTTGGTTGTCGAGTGAATTGGTAACAAAATCCATATTCGCCTTTGTTTACCTGTGCTGGTATATCTGTCTCCTTGCTTTGGACTTGTCCAACTCGTATATAGTCCTTTGGATTTCCCGTTTACCTCATATAGTTTGCTATTATCTGCATGTTTTTTGTTGTATATTTATGATAGTAAAACCGGGGTATTTACTTATTAATTATCTGACGTACAAAATTTCAATCCTGGTATTTATGATGAGTTTATGTACAACCACTGTGTCTATGCCACTGCTGGTGGGTATCACCAGCCCAGTAGTCAACACTTCTGGTGTATACCTGAATTATCATTGATATGGTCACAATTATAAATTGACTATTTACAAAATTTAAATTTTCGGAATACTGAGGTTTTTCTACCTCAGGAATAGATTGCCTTGGCTGTATTTGGCTAAACTTTTAGGAATTTTTGGTACTCAATGCTCTTAAACTTAGAACTTTATTTGGCCTTTTTAATTTTTTATTCGAGCGTCACTGATGAGTCCTTTGTAGACGAAACGCGTGTCTGGCGTACAGAATTTCAATCCTGGTATCTATGATGAGTTTATTTAATTTTTTTCATACTATTTGTGAGAAATCTGGATTTTCTCTTACTTTATGGAACAAACATAATTGCACATGTGAATAAAACGTTTTAGACGTAAATGACTTCAAGGTATACCTAAATTATTCTTGTTCGTATATGCTAACTATCTTTTTGTTTGGGACATCACTTCAATCAATCTTTATGGGAACAATTGGGGATTGGCTGTCGAATTCCTGATTTTGTGGCACAGGTTCTTCCGAATGAAAGTGTAGTTTGACTTGTTATAATAATGAATTACGGCGTACCTACCACTTTTCTTTCATTTACAATGATGTATCTTTGAGTCAAAATGCACAAATGACCGTGCCTCTCTAGTCGCACAGCAATACAGATGTGGCTTTGTATTGGTATATTCCACTAGCAAACCGACACCCATAGCAAGAGAAGCTTAACAGGGTGCGTCCGTCCAGAGAGTCTAATATATTCTAAAAAAATGTTTTTGCCAATCAATTTTGAGTTGGTAGCAATTGTATCCATTTCAAGCAGCCAAATAACTTCCATTTGCAAGAGTTAATGTAGTTTTAAGAGTACATCACGCCAAACAAAGTAGGATCTCCTCTTAATAAATAGTAAATTACGTTTTCCAAACAATATATTTCAATAACTGATGTATTTCACAACAAATAGGTAAAAAGCTATGAAAAAAAGAATCAATTTAAATTGCCAATATAAGACTTTCAATAGTAATTATAACAATGATGAAAATAATAAACGCATTTCCAAACACATCATCTTTAATTGGTTATATTGTCAAAAGCCATCTGTGTAAGGAGGTATTTATATATGCATTGTGATTATAGGCAATATGTAACTTACAATTAAAAAAAAGCGATATTTGAACGATAAACGTTTTCAAATATAAAATTTCGTTTGACAGTACAGGTCGATATGCGCCATAAACGTGAACTTGAAAAAAAATTAATATCTCATGTTTCTCACGATTTATGTGATTTTTTAGTATAAAATCGTACAAAAATTGCATGACTCGCTCCGCTCGGCAGTATCAATTACGTGTTCTGGAATTACACACCCCTTTCAAAAAATACTAGATTAATGCCTTTTTAAAATTTTTATTCTTATTTGACGGGATATATCTATTATGTATTTCGTGTCCAATTTATGTATTTCTTGTATTGATACCTTGTCTGTGGTTGTTTGCTTTTCTGTCAGTTTCCTGTAAACATCAGACAGTTAAATCCGTTCATCTTATCTCCACAGTTCAATTAGTGTTGATAAGTAGAATTTATTCTTAGCCTACGTTTAAGATTTATTTAGTAATATGAACCACAGGTTTTTAACGGCGAAACAGAAATTATCAAATCAATGTCTTCGGGGTGATCAAAATATATGCACATTTAATCAACGAACCAGCGTTATTTTTCACCACGTGATAATAATATCGACTGCAACGTAACAAACGTTTTCGCGCCAAATTTTCTACATATACCAGATCGACTACCACTCAATATCCATTTTCGACAGTTAAACACTTTGGTTAATAAGACTTAAATGTGGAAGATTGAGCGCTTAACAAGCATCTGCCCTCTGTGTATAGTTGATTGTGTATAGTATTGCCAATCTTACAAATTGAATTGGCGAGCTGTCAATCCATCAATATCCAGGGATGTGCGTGTGACAAAAAAATAGAAAGAATTATTCATTTATTCTTAAATTGGGACACATTTTTTTTCAATTTAAAATGGAGAGTAAGCCGAAACCAAAACTTATAGTTTTCGACTTGGGTAAGTTATCAAATTTAAATATATAACAATCCAATAGCAGTTTTACATGATTTATTTCATTATTAAGGGGAGCATGTGATTTAATTCCTGGACACTTCTTTTCAATTATGATATCATTGTTTTATGTAATTACGAAAGATACTGATACATGTAGCTATTTTTAAGTAACAGAAAGTAAAAGAAACTGAAAAATAAAGATACGACACGAGGAATGTTTCCTGGCACCGAAAATAATGAACACGAACTTAAATTCTATTTTACATTTTTTATCATTAATTAAAAAAAAAACGAGAGTTTGAGAGGTTTTATTCTAGAAATATTAAGACATTTTATATATATCAGATGATATGAATTCTACCAGAGTTGGTTCTGATATTCACACCTGGTTTTACAAAAAGAAGGTATTCGTTCTCATTAGTATTATAAGACGTTACGCCCTGTGATGATAGACTATTGACTGTTACCTCATCAAACATTACACTACAAACCAGTAAAAGTCTGAAATGGCCTATATCTGTACTCGACTGTACTGATTTTTACTCGACCAGTCTGAATTGGTCTGAATTTTACTCGACATTACTCGACCCCAGTCTTAACCATACTCGACTGTACTGATTTGTACTTGACCCTTATCTTTGCCATTAAAATAGTCTGAACTATTACTCGACCAGTCTGAAACAGTCTTAACCCATTCTCGACCTGTACTCGACCTATTTTTTTCAGTCTAAACCATACTCGACCAAAGGTCTGAACAATACTCGACCAGTCTGAACCATACTGGACCAAATAACCTCTACTTTTTCTAAATTTAAATGTTAAAATAAATTTCTTTTTAACTGACATGACAACAGCCACAATAAAATAAAGATATATATTATAAAAACAGGTTTTTACATTCTTACATGATTCTCAGATTTATCGAATAGAGATAGTTAAATCAAATTATCTTATATAATAATTTAATTATATTAATTTTAAAGTTTTAGAGTTTTGTTAAAAAAAAAAATTCTTTTACCTAAAAACCACACCTATACTGAGGGTAATTAAACCTGGTAAACAGACAGAAAGTCACAGGACAAAAAGTCACAAGACATAAAGTCACAAATTTGATAGGACAAAAAGTCACAAATAATTTGTTGACAATTGTTTGAATATATATATGAGAAAGATCTTGAAATATATTAGGTGCTTCTTGTTTGGCATGTGTTTTTTTTTTAAATTAATTTTCCTAAATTCCTAAATAAAAACTACATAGGTTTCATGGTTACACACAAAAAATGTACAATAGTAATGAGGTAACAACAGCCAACAAAATCACTGAAATTGTTTAACCTTATTTTAGAAATATATCTATTATTATAATTTTGGATATATTATATACAATATATATCAAAAAGGGATAAAAAATAAAGAAATTAATAAAATTGTTCTTCTGATTAGTGGTGAAGTATAAAGTAATACCTCCTGCTTGGGGCAAACTCATGAAAAAGATCACACCTGGTCAGAGAGCATTAAATTCTAAATAACATTCATTCAAAATTGCAACATCCTGTGAAACTTAAATCGCAAGGCCTTTTGAATTCACTAGATAAGTAATACACGAGTTTAAGAAAAATAGGGCTTTCTTTTTACCTGTAAAACACACATGTACTGAGGTAATTAAACCTTATTAAAGTGCTTCTTGTATGCCATGTCTTTAATTTTGACAAAAATTATTTTAAATTTAATTGAAATAAATTTTTACTGTTACTTTGGAACACATTTCCTTTTTTAAAAGTTTATCACAGGATTACTATGGACGTTCTATTATCATGATTATATTAAATTCTTGGTTTAACAAAACAAAGGTGTCATTTTTTAAATTTATTAAGTTGCTTTATATGCTATTTTATATATATTTTAATAAAAAAAATGTTCACTGCATTACTAACTAAACTCAACTGACACCATAAATCTATACGAGGCTTAAGTTAATGGTGAAAATTGTCCAGTAACCATAAAATATATCTGAAACATTCAAAAAATTTTGAATAACATTGAAAATATTAGTCACAATTCAGTTTTGAGATTATTTGATCAGCTTGTTTTATTTTTATTTTAAAGGTGATATATATGTATGTATATAAGTGTTGATGAATATGGTGATGAAGTTATATTATGTATATTGTGAAATTTTGGTTTCAATGCTATATTGAATACATTTTTAATTACAAATTGCTGTTCAAATTTCGAGCCAGGGGAAATAGCTGTTGTTAAAAACAGTTCCTAAATTGATGAAATACAATAGATAGATACAAAAAATAGGTCTAGGTTGGTTAAGACTTGGTCGAGTATGGTTCAGACTAGGTCGAGTATGGTTCAGACTAGGTCGAGTATGGTTCAGACTAGGTCGAGCATGGTTCAGACTAGGTCGAGCATGGTTCAGACACGTATAAAATGGTTAAGTACTGGTCGAGTACAAGTTCAGACTGTTAAGTATGGTTCAGACTACAGTCGAGTATTATTAAGTAAATTTCAGACCAATTCAGACTGGTCGAGTAAAAATCAGTACAGTCGAGTACAGATATAGGCCATTTCAGACTTTTACTGGTTTGTAGTGTTAATCTGCCAAAGAATCTGTAACTATCACGACATACACATGACTGATGACAAAAACACATTAAGTATCTTCATGATAGACAAACATGTATCATATGTTTAATGGAGTCTGATGATTCCCAAGTGATTCCGGGTAATAATCATATGTTTAAAGGAGTCTGATAAGTCCCAAGTGTTTCCGGGACGGGGTAATATCAATAATATTTGCAGTTAAAAACTATCGAGTTCAGCAACCTTGTCATCTCCACAGACCCATTCTTAAATGTCCCTGGAACTTTAAACAAAAAGAGTGCTACTCTTATTAACAGAAGGGGTGCTACTCTTATTTAACAGAAGGGGTGCTACTCTTATTTAACAGAAGGTGTGCTACTCTTATTTAACAGAAGGGGTGCTACTCTTATTTAACAGAAGGGGTGCTGCTCTTATTTAACAGAAGGGGTGCTACTCTTATTTAACAGTAGTGGTGATATTCTTATTTAACAGAAGGGTTTGCGCTCTTATCTATCAGTAGGACTTGGACACTTATTTAACAATAGGGGTGGCACTCTAATTAATTACGATTTTTTTTTCAGATTTTCGCCTTCCCTTTCTGATTGGGTTTCGTTTAAGGTTTATCTAACGCTCGCATTTTGAATTAGGCATCCACAAAGCTAGGGAGGAAAACTTTATTATTAGTACCACAGAAAAATCGCAATGCGATTTTTTTCTGTTGTTGTGACCTGTAAGCGTAGTTGAAGTAAATTAATCAGAAACGAACGTAGAATAACACTGTTTGAAAACTAAATCAGTTTACATGGAAAGCTCCTGTCGGTTTTAACATATAATATTTCGGTATAAGTAATTCAAAACCTCGTAGAGTGTTTGTTCTTGTTTTTTTGCTATCTATTATCTAATAAATAATAAGGAGTTTATTATACTTGCTCTACTATATAACTATAATGTTCGAAGGCTCTCATGACAATGGCTCAATTTATATAGATATTAACACAAACTTCTTTTCCTTTTTCCAACGACTCATTTACTATTGTCTCACGAATATTTTAATATAATTCTAATTAAAATGATACTCTTTAGTCTGTCATGGTTGGAAATCATTTTAATATAATTCTAATTAAAAAGATACTCTTCAGTCTGTCATGGTTGGAAATCATTTTAATATAATTCTAATTAAAAAGATACTCTTCAGTCTGTCATGGTTGGAAATCATTTTAATATAATTCTAATTAAAAAGATACTCTTCAGTCTGTCATGGTTGGAAATCATTTTTATAAAATTATAATTAAAACGATACTCTTTAGTCTATCATGGTTGGAAATCAAAATGTTAATACATTCATGTGAAAGAAATCTCTGTATTACTGAAAAATTATTACACCAGGGTTTTCGATATCACAAACTAGTCAAAACATTTACTAAATTTTATCATCGGTACAAGGACATCATTCGTAAATATAAATCAATATGCAGACATCTTATACGTTCAGGTATTTCACATCCAATATTTTATGGTAATATTCTGTACAAAGCACAAAAATGTCGGCATTCACCTCAAAAGCTAACCAAACCTTTAAACAGACTTATTCGGAAAGGATATGGTTACGATACTGTTGTCACGTCATTTAGGATTGCATATTTTGGTATTAATATTGATTCACTCATAGGGTCTTTGAATCGGAAATAAACACATTTATTCTAAAACCAGTTGTTGGCATGATACGGGTTATGTTCTTCTCATATATTTTATGATGGTATGATACTAAACTCCTAACGGGAGGGATTGTACTTGATTTGCATATGATGAAGACAAGTCATAATCTTTCAATCAGTTTAATTGAGGTTTGGAGCTGGCATGTCAGTAACTGCTAGTAGTCCTTTGTTCATTTATGTATCATTGTCATTTTGCTTAGTTTCTTTTGTTACCTATTCTGACATCGGACTCGGACTTCTTTTAAACTGAGTTTTACTGTGCGTATTGCTAAATACAGATGATGTGTTTCTTTTTTCTTTGCGCCTGTCCCAGGTCAGGAGCCTCTGGCCTTTGTTAGTCTTGTGTGTTTTTTAATTTTAGTTCATTTATATGTTTTGGAGTTTAGAGTGACTTCCTTTTTGACTGAACTAGCACACAATTTTATTTAGGGGCAAGCTGATGACTACCTCCGGGTGCGGGATTTTCTCGTTGCATTGAAGACCCATTGGTGGCCTTCGGCTGTTGTCTGCTCTTTGGTCAGGTTGTTGTCTCTTTGACATATTCCCCATTTCCATTCTCAATTTTATGTTAATTTGTTAGCACACCTTCACATTTATACAACAGACTTCTCTTTTATCTCGTAATCTATTTTTAAGAGATGTTAATTGTTGGTTACTGTAACTCTGTGTCCATTGAGAGTTTTCACCTGGGATTTA